GGGCAGCGGCCGCTCCCGGCCCCCGCAGCCTCGACCCGCTGGGCTCCGGCGGTCCTTCCGCTTCAGCCTTCCGAGTAGCTGGAACTACAGGCGCGCACCACCACGCCCGGCTGATTTTGTGATGTTTTATTGTAGAGATGCCCAGGTAGGTCTCAAGCCCGCAGTCTCAGGCAATCCACTCGCCTCAGCCTCTCAAAGGCGTGGGATTACAGGCTGAGCCACCGAGCCCAGCTGAGAAACCTTTTTTGTTTCCCTGGATGAGAAAAGTCCTCAAAGGGAAAGGTTTTGCCAATGTGGAAGAGGCGAAACGAAAAACAGCAGAAGCACTAAAAGGCATCAAAATTGACGAGTTCGAGGACTGTTTTCGAGCAGGGGGAAGAGCGTCTCGGAAGGTGTATGGCATCAGTCAGAGGGGACCTTGAAGGTGATGGAAGTTTAAACGTGTGAGGATCAATGGACACTTTTTAATAAATTCTGATTTGGGGGGGTCCCACCGCATAGAAAGCATTTGGCATATGTTAAAGTTTTTGCCGTTTGTAGCAATATTGACAGTTGTATTCATAATTTTTCTTAAGACAGCTTCTTTCCGTCACGTAGGCTGGGCCAGTGCATTGGCCCAACCATAGCTCGCCGCAGCCTCAAACTCCTGGGCTCAGGCAGTCTTCCTGCCTCATCCCCGTGAGTATCTGGGGCGACAGGCATGTGACACCACTTCCAGCTAGTTGCATCAGTGACTTCAGTGCCCTACTTTTTTTGCGATTTTTGTTATTTTTTATTTTTGGTCAAAGTGTTACTCCATCGCCCAGGCTGGAAGGCAGGGGCACCCTCACGACCACCGCAGCCTCGACTGCTGGGCTCTGGCGATCCTTCCACCTCAGCATTCCAAGTAGCTGGAATCACAGGCACTCATCGCCACGCCCCGCTAATCTTTGTGTGTGTGTGAATTGGAGTCTCACTCCGTCCGTCACCCAGACTGGAGTGCAGTGGCATGCTCACAGCCACCCCAATATCAACCTGCTGGGCTCCGGCGACCCTTCCACCTCAGCTTTCCAGGTAGCTGGAACAACAGGCGTGTGCTACCACGCCTGGCTAATTTTTTAATTTGTTGTGGAGACGAAGTCTCACCAAGTTGCCCGGACTGGTCTCAAACCCCTGGGTTCAGGCAATCCTCTTGCCTCAGCTTCCCAAAGTGCTGGGATTAGAGGCTTGAGTCACCACACCTGGCTTCAGCGCCTATTTTTAATGTTACAAGGAATCTTGAATAGTCCATGCAACGTGCCAAAGCCATTACACATAGCTTGGCACAAAAGAAGAATTTTTCTTAATATTTAGCATAATTTTTCTTTTAAGGTGGAATCTCTGTCGCCCAGACTGGAGTGCAGTGGCACGCTCACAGCCACCCCAGTGTCAACCTACTGAGCTCTGGCGATCCTTCCACCTCAGCCTTCCAAGGAGCCAGAACCACAGGTACGCACTACCATGCCCGGCTAATTTTTAAAATGTATTTATTGTAGAGATGAGGTCGCACCGAGTTGCCAGGGCTGGTCTTGAACCCACGGGCTCAGGCAATCCACTTGCCTCCGCCTCCCAAAGAGCTGGGATTACAGGCTGAGCCACCAAGGCCAGTCTAGCATAAATGTTTATATACTCAATAAGCGTAAGCTTCGAGGCATGGGGTATAAAACTGTTCAATAAGATTTCGTCAAAAAAAAAAAAGAAAGAAAAGATGGTGAGGTGTGGGTAGATCTAAGAACGTGGAAAACTGCAAGTTTCATGGAGGAGGTGCAACTAAGACCATCATTCCTCCAGAGGTAGACGCAACCAAGGTGAGAGAGAAGCGGGCAGCGGTGAAGAAGCGAGAGGGACAGACGAGAGAGAGGGTGGCAGAAATGGCTGCTGGGGCTCTGGAGCAGAGGACTAAGAACAGAGCTTCGCACACCGGCGACCGCCCTCTCCCGTGGTGTCTCACAGGCAGGGGACGTCGCATGGGCACACGCCACACACCAGGACAAACATCACCCACCAGGACGCACCCACGACACATGGCACACACAGGCACACGCCACACACATGGACACATACCACACATGGGCACACGCCACACACGTGGGCACACACCACACGCGGGCACACACTTGACCCAAAGGGGCACTGGACTCCAAGTCCAGGTGACGTGGGCTCTGGCCCCAACCCCGTCGCTCCATGTGTCACAGGGAGGCTGGGTGAGTCACAGAGGGGACCTGGGTTCAAGGCCGGTTCTGCAGGAATCATGACCTTGGCCAAGTCACCCCGCCCGCCAGGCCTGATAAGGAAAACGGGGCAACCCCAGCCCTTTCGCCTCCATTGCCCCGAGTCCAGCGTCTGACCCCAGCCCAGGAGTGACCCAGAGACAAGGCGAGGACAAGGAAGCCTGTCTGGGTGGAAAGGCAGGCGGGAGAAAGGGAGCCAGGGTGGGAGCTGGCTGGCCATCCCAGGAGGCCCAGCCCGAGAACCTGCTGGGCTCGGCCCGGCAAGGCTGAGGCCAGGCCGGGGCGGGGGGCAGACAAGGCCGGCTACACCTGGGCTTCTGATGGAGAAGACGGTTGCAACACACCCTTTCCCTTCATCAGCTGGACGATAGGAAAGGGAAGTCAGCTGTCATCACGGCGCTGCTGGTCATGACCCCGTCCACGGCCCTGGCCTTCCCCGGCCCTCTCCTGGCTCCCTCCCTCCCCAGGAGGCCCCTTCTCCTTCAGCTCCTCAAGGCAGCGCCGGTGAAGGGGAACAGTCACACGCGGGGGAAGGGTCCCCAGGGTGACGAGGGAGAGTCCCTTCTGGGGTCCAGGGCGACGCGGAGTGAGGAAGAAGCCAGGGTCGGATGACGGGGCCCCACGAGGACAGCACTTGGCCTCTCCCTAGGCCTCAGTTTCTCCTTTCCTGAAGCAGAGAGGACTTCCTCAGGCCCCTGTGATCAGCCGCAGAGAAGACTCTGCAAGGCTTTGAGGTTCCAGAAGAAGCTGGCCTGGGCTCTGCCTCCTCTGCAGGGAGCGCTTCATGGGGAGGGGGGTGGGTGAGGGTCTTCTCACCACGGGGCGGCCGACGGGGGCGGGTGAGGGTCCGCTCGCCACCGGGTGACCAAGGGGGAGGCGGGTGGGGGTCTGGTGTGGCTGCACGGTGAGTGGACTCAGCAAACAGAGTGGAAGACGAACCATGTTGGAAAGTCAGGAAGGAAAGGGGCGTCCAGACATCGTGGAGGGCAGTCTCCCGTCACCCCCGGGCAGACCCCCGGAGGGGAGCAGCGCCTTGTTCTCCTTCTCCCGCCCAGCAGGGTGACGGGCACACAGCGGCTGCCCGGCAGTGCCCACAGAGGAACTCAGGGACGCTCCGTCTCTCCCGAGGGGCCCGAAGAACGGCCGCGTCCACGGTGAAGCCGAGGGGCACGGGAGTCTGTCCCCTCCCGCCACCACGGGCCCCTCCAAAAGCTGGGGCAGTGACTCTGGGGCCGGCACCGGCTCCCTATCCCATCCGGCTCTCCAGACGCTCTTTACGCCACAGACATTTATTGAGCACCTGCCTGCTGACTCCAGGAGGGACGCTGGGCCAGGTCCGGAGCACACACAGGAGTGGCGAGACTCAGCCCCTGACCGCGAGGAACTCAGCCTAGCTGGGGAGGCAGACACGAGGAGCAAGAGGGCATCGTGCAACGTGGGCCCTCCAACGGGTGGACGGAACACTGTGGGGGCCCATGGGGGAGGGGAGGGAGCGATTCTGGGCAGACACAAGGGGCAGAAGCTCTCAGAAAGCAGCGATGTCGAGAAGGGCTCTAAGGGATGCAGAGGAGGTCTCCAGCAGGTGGCTGGGGAAGAGTCCAGACTGAGCACCTGGCGTGAGCAGACATGTGGAGGCATGAGACACAAGGCAGAGAGGCTGGGGTTGGGCTCTGCGGGGGAACGGGGTCTGAGGCCAGAGGGACCCGGGGCAAGCAGGGAAGGGCCAAGCCTTGAGTCACTACCACACTCGGATCCAGCCTCTGCCCTGCGGAGTCCGGGAAGGGGAATTGCCCAAGAGCTGACAATGGGGGCTTTCGGGTGGGGTTCCCCACCCAAGTTCAAGAAGAGGAGCAGACATCTGCGTCCCTGGAGAGCTGCGTGGCCAGGCCCATCTGGGCCGGCTCCAGTCATCGGGTAGGAAACCTGGGCATGCCTGTGTGCCCCTCGTTGGTGTTTTGCCCCGGTCATCGGTCGTTTCCTGGGAATGCTCCTTGTCAAAGCTCCAAGCCTGGCATGGCTGATCCAGGGGACACAGAGACTCCTTTGCACTTGGGTGGGGAGGCCGGTGTTCGCAAGCAGGACCAAGGAGTGCCTGCCGGGAGGCGAGGCCGTCGGGGCAGCTTCGCTGGCTACTGTCTCGGGGCACCTTCCTGAGCCCCTCGCCCATCCCGCTGCCCCTGGCACACTGAGGGCAGCGGGGTGGCCCCGGGGGGGAGCCCCAAACAGCCTTCAATCCGGCCGAGGCTGGCCCCCGCCCCCGGGGGGACACCTGCTTTGGTGGGAGCATCATGCTCCGCCCCTCGCGGGGCCCCCAGAGGACAGGCAGAGGGGCCGGGCCCCGCCCCACCCGCCGGGGAGGGCCGGGGGCCCAGGGTGGCGTAGGCAGGCGGAGGGGCGGCCAAGGCCAAGGAGGGAGCCAGGCCCGGCGGGGGCCCAGCAGGGGACACGGGGCGGGCGCAGAAGCGGGCGGGGAGGGAGGACACTGGAGTGGACGCCACCTCGCGGGCAGCCCTGCCCCCTCGGCCCGGGGACCAGTATCGGCTCCGCAGCCTCCTGAGCAGCATGAGGAAGGTGATGACCAGGAGGTCGGAGATGAGCTCCGCCATCTCCACCACCGACAGCACGGAGGAGCCGAACCACAGGCTCCACTGGCTGCCCAGGGTGGACAGGAGGGCGACCATCTGCGGGCGAGAGAGGCG